TATTTATGTATATGTGACTTATAAACAGCGTCTCTTTGTGTTCATCTTTACAATATCAGGCTTAGACCAGGTATGTTTTTAGCTTTACAGACTTTACAAATCTGTTTGATTGTGTACTGCATTTAAGATAATTTTATAGTTATTTTTGTCCAACTTTTATGAATTAAGTTAAATTAGCCAGCAGCTCATGACACCTATGGGAGTCCAATGACATAAATCAAACTTAAACAAACACTTTTATAAACATACAAACAAGCACAATATAGACAGAATTAGCCTGATAAACATTCATACTTATAAAATGAATTCAGCTAAATTGGGCTACTTTTTGACCATCATCATAATCTCAATGTCAAAAAGTGGCCCAGTTGACCTGAATTCTTCCTATATCCCTTGACCTGCCCCTTCTCATCTTGTTCCTTTCCTCCTTTTGCTTTTTATAACTGTCACGCATACTGTAGTATGTGATGTCTCAGTCTCTCCTCGAAAAAAAAAAAGCACAGCTCAGGCTTTATGCAGGACAGCACTGGATTAAGAGCTCCACATCGTAATCAGTCTGCTAAAGCCACACACACACACACACACACACACACACACACACACCACACACATAAACATGCCTCACCCAGCCAAGACCCACTGCCCTACTGCGGGACAGGCACTCACATATTAAACACTCACAGGGAGCCAGCTGGACAAACGCACATAGAAGTTTGTACCACACAGCAAATCCAGCAGGCATAAGATTCACCTGCATTAACAAACACACTCCACCTGTCCGGCACTGCGGTACACTACAGTCACAGATTCAGCAGAACATCCCACTGCAGTGAAGCCCAAACCCAGCAGCCCCTCCCAGCCTCATACCCTCCAGCACACGCTTACCTTTGTGACAGTCATGCAGAGAACAGTGCAGAAGAGTCCGTTTCTGTGCCTGAAACGCTGAGTGAGACAACAGGACAGAGAGAGAAGGACTCACTGAGTGTGTGCAGCCTGCAGTCTCTACGACAGCAGAGTGAGACACGAGAGATTGTGAAAAAGGAGAAGAGAGAGAGGGGGAGGGAGGGTTTGGTCGCTGTCTCTCGCTAAGTATCCAAGCCTATCAGTGCCGCATGGTCCTGTAGCCAGGATACTGCAGTGAAGCCAGCTCAGTTAGTACTATTACTACTTCCTCCCGC